TTTTATTAGTAAGTAAATGTGGTTTGAAATAGGACTACTTGTTTTAGGTTTTTTCCATTGTGTCATTTATTTATTTTGACGTGGCAGAAAAGTACAGAGAATATGAAGATGAACCAATGCCTGCAAATGTTCAGCATATGTACTCGTAAGAGATATTTTTATCTAATATTAAATGGACGCACAGAACTTAGCGAATGCACAGCAACCTGGACAACCAAACCCAGAGAATATTCCAAATGAAGTTAGAATACAAACTGCAATGGCAAACTATGGTCAAGTGCCAACAGATGTACAAATGCAAACTGCCATGTCAAATGACGCTGCGTTAGGTTTGCCACCATGGTATGCAAATATGAGATGGAAAGAGTTTTATACAAACCCTGAAGTGGGATATAAACAACTTTATGCAGATGACGCGAACACAGGAGTTGACCCAGAATATGTTTTCTACCAGAGGAGAAACAGAATGTATGAGCTCCAGTTAAAGAATGCTATGGAACTCAACAGGAAACGTAAGAGACTAGGCGGACATTAGATTTTTACATATAGTAAAATGGGTTTCTTCAGTAGTATTGGAAACTTCTTCAGAAGAGTTGGAAGAGGTATATGGAATGGAATAAAAACCGTAGGAAGAGGAATTTGGAACGGAGTCAAAAATATTGGTAAAAGGGTAGGTCAGTTTGTTGGTATTATACCTAAAGACCCTGAACCAGAAGAACAAGCTCCTGTTATACAACAGCCTGAACCTGCACCACAGTCTAGTTGGCAACCAAATCCAACACCTCAACCGTATTAAAAAATTATATTTTTACCGTTCGATAGTAGTTGTATATGAAACTAAGTTCTAAGTAAAACGCATGGTATAATGGAATTATTCTTTTTCTTCCATCTGTAGTAAACCATACTTGAAAGTCTGAAATACTTCCACTTGGTGGTTCGTATAACTTTGTAGGTTTTTCGTAAAAGTCATTTGCCAAGCATAAGAAAGAGTTTTGGGCGCCAGAAAATGAAGCATGAACAATAATAGCATCTTGGTCGAAAACATTTTCATATGTTCCATTAGGGTTTTCGACTTCATAAAAGTCTGGGTGTACTGGATATGCTGCAGGCTGATTTAACATCCTCAAAAATCTATACCATGCCAAGTTGTTATATTTTGTAGAAATATAAACGTTTTCTCCAAGGTCTTCTATTCTATTGATTTTAACAGTTGCATTTTTCCTGTCATAAATAATATCGAGATGGTACTCTCCCTCGTCAATGTTATACTGGTTTGCATATTCGATATAGATATCGTTTATTTTTTCTTGAAAAGCTTGAAGAGTTGTTTCTAAGTTTACAAGCAAATTCACTTGTAAAAGTTTTCCCTGTTCAAATTTCTCATACATACGTTTTTCTTTGTTATAGTATCGAACTTCAAAACCGACCGTAAATGGGAAACCATGTATGGCTTCTGAAATGAACTTCATTCTACGAAAGCCAATAGCTTTTGTGACGGATGGGTCTCTTAACCATCTTAATGGGTAGTCAAAACGATAGCCTTCATGCTTTACGGTATCTGTCTCAAACTTTTGACCGACATTAGTAAAAAGTTCATCTAATGGTTTAGTTGTAGCAACTCTTGAATTTTCTTTTTCTATTGAAAGCATATTTTATCTAGAATAAAAATGTCGAAAGATATTGCTTCCATGAGAGAAATACAACACAACCGACAACTCATTATGCAAGCTCTAAATAAGAACACAACAAACTTTTCAAACTATTCTAAGATATCTGAGTCATTGAAAGAAGGAAACTTAAAACTGACATTAAACCCAATGACAGATGAGTTTCTATTTCAAGACAAGAAGAACAATACTGTCTGTATAAATCCAACAAAAGGAACTTTAAACGAGAAACCTATAAATGAACTTCTTTTGAAAGCAGATGTTGACAACAAAGCTGACAAAGAATATGTAGACGATGCAATAGCAAAAGAAGAAGAAAGAGCTAACAATGCTTATGCAACAAAAGAACATACTCATCCTGAACTAGCAGACAAAACATATGTTGACAATAAAATGTCAAGTGAAGTGACGAGAGCTGAAAACGAATATTCTAAAAAGACTCATACACATTCTATATCTGAAATAACAGACTTAAACGTTAGCCTTGAAAATAAGGTAGATAAGGACTTATGGCTAGTGTGTTAGTGAAGAAGGCGGATAAGGAATATGTGGATGAAAAAGATAAAGAAATTATAGAAAGGGTTGACTGGTACCATGAACGGACATCAAAGATTTTAAAAACTAAAGCCGATACAGGATGGGTTTCAGGATGTTTAGACCTTAAAGCAGATAAAACTTATGTTAACGATGAGTTAGAGAAGAAAGCAGACAAGAACCATACACATACAAGTTTTACAACTGTTGCTATAGAAAGTATTGAAGGAACGGTTGAAGAAACTGGTGGGGATGCAATATATTGTAAACCTCCTAACTTTCCACAAGGTTTAACATCGGATGACGACATAACGACGATGAGAAACATTAGATGTAAAGATGTTTATGTCATGAAGGATGAACATAATATTAAATTCACTGCTCAAGATTTATATGACAAGAAAGCAGACAAAACAGAGCTTCAAACATTAAAGACAGAAATGCTTCAAACATTATATCCTATAGGCTCTATTTATACGTCAATGAACTCTACCAGACCAGAAGTAGTACTTGGTTTTGGAACTTGGACTCAAATAGTCGACAGGTTTTTGTATTGTGCAAACTCTTCAAAGGAAACAGGTGGAAGTAAAACGATTTCAGGTGAAAATTTACCTGCACACAGTCACTACATAGATTTAAGTACATCTCAAGCAGGTTGGCATAAGCATAAATTTTGGGATTGGTCAGCAATGACAAAAGGTAAAGGATATGATGTTAAAGACAACGTTCAGTTTGCTATAAATTGTTTCTGGGGTAACACTCAGGGAGATGGAAACCATACACATCGCGTTTCAGGATATACGCAAACAACGGGACAAAGTAAAGACTACATGCCACCTTACATGACAGTTTACGCATGGTATAGAAATGCTTAGTCGTCATTTTCAACTTCTTTAGCATATTCGTCAGGAGTTGTCTTATATTTGTTAGGAACTGTCTTTGAAAGTATACCACCTTGAACTTTGACAAGTTTGAAACGAGGTCTGACAATAGTAGTTTTATCTTCTGCTTGCAGTGTGTACATTTTGCCATGTTTGCCTAAAACTTCATAATATTCTCTTGTATACTTTCTTCTATTTTTACGAACACGAATGTGAGTACCTGTCGGGTTCCCATTGTTGTCATAGTCAATAGTATTTTCATATGGGTCGCGTTTAGGTATTTCTATTTTTACTTTGTCACCTTTCTGAAGTTTGAAGCCCGGCATTCTTTCTTGTTTGTCTCTTTTGACTAAATTATTAAATATATAGTCTTTCTCTAAGTCAGGGTTGTTTTTCATTTCTTCGGGGGTGGTTTCCCAAACCTTTTTGTTTACGGCTATTGTAAATATTTAAAACTTGTCTCATCTTTGCCATGGAGAAGTGTCTATATTTGTCGTCATATGACATTTCATTTGCTTCACCACCTTGTGGTTGGTTTAAGTCTCTTAACATTTTTATACAACCGTCAATGACACCAAGAGCAGAATGGTTTTGGTCGACAATGAAATATTGGTTTACATTTTTTGAACGCAGATAGTTTTTTACATCATCTGATTTGAAAGAACTTTCACAGTCAGATGTCAGTTTTGTTGGATGGTATTTGTCAACGAATATTGTCAAAGCAGTTTTCACATCTAAAATATTTTTGGACCATAATGGTATGGCTTCACAGTATCTTGTGTTTTGACCGACAAATATTAGCCAGTATGGTGGTCCATCTTCTCTATACCTCGGAATGTTTTCCAAGATATCCATAAACCAAGCATTTGGTGTTGAACTAAAGATTTTTATCATGAGTGCTTTCTTTGTTGCTTTAGAAACATAGGGGTCCTTGTTCGGATTCGTCATTTTTTATCCTATAAGAAATGGGTTTATTTGGCGCATTAGCAGGAGTTGCATCCAGATTTTTGCCCGCAGTGGGAACAATAGCCAGAGGTGTATTTGGAGTTGGAAGGAAGATTTTGAGTACATTAGGTATACTTAAAGAGAAAGCACAACCTATTATACAAACTGTACAGAAAGGTTGGGATGTAGCACGAGATGCAACAAATCTTATTCCAAATCCTGAAACAAGAGGAAAAGTTCAAGGATGGATGGACAATGTAGGAAGACAAGCAGGAAACTATTATAACAAAGCAAATGACTACTATAACCAAGCAGGACACTATATGGACCAAGGTGAAAGATTCTTTAACAGAGGATATAACCATGCACAACAGTGGGTAAACAATAACCAACCTCAACCGCCTCAAACGTGGGGAATGTAAAGTTTTTTACTGAGATGAAATGAACAATACAGCATTGAGACAAATGGGTTCAAGATGGATTTGTCGGCTTCCAGCAGTTACACAACGTGTTTGTCAAGTTCTTCCTATACCTCAGGAAGTTTTAGACCGACTTAAAAAACAACAACAACCAGTTGAAAACAAACCAAACTAAAATTTTTTACTGAGATGAAATGACCGAAGAAGTTGAAACGGTAGATTTGACACCACAAACAAAAAGTTCAGAACCATTGTCAAAACCTGTCAAAGAACTTACAGATGAAGAGAAAAATTCAATAATAGAAAGTGCCAGGTCTGGAAATACAAACCCTAACTACAAAGTCACTTTTCATAAAAATGGAACGGCAAGTATCTCAAAAAAGAAACAGACTCTCACAAATAAAATATTGAAGTCTGAAGGAGCTTTCGAGACAACAGATGGAAAAGTTTACTTCACTGACCAACAGTTCATTATAGAACATCTCATTGACTTAGAGTCGAAATATTCTAAACTTTACAACAAACATAAAAAGTTGAAAGGAAAACAAAAACAAATGGCATATGATATTTATGAAGATGTTGACGACACAACTGTTCCTGCAGGTGAAGTAAAGTCAGAGAAACCGAAAAGTGACGAAAAACCGATAGAAGAAGAAAAACCAAAAACTGAAGATAAACCAAAACCAAAGTTTAGTTTGGAAACTAAACCAAGTCAACCTTCATTAGCTGGTATGGGTTGGCGTCAAAGACTTATGGCAGCAGGCGGTTATGTAAAGTAAAGAAAAAATATTTTTTTATTCGAATTTGAAATGTACGCTGAGTTTGTTAGTGAACCTCAAGTTGAAGGAAACTTGTTTGTTAGATGAGAAATATGAAATGGCATACCATTTTAAAACAATATATTTTTACATATATTAAATGCTTCAGGTTGAAAAACAAAGAACAAAAGTAGCAGATACAAAACCGTTAGACTATATCTTTACAAATGCTGGTAGGACTATTTCAGATGAAGAAATTTCATCCCGAGCATACAGGTTTGACTATCCAATTCGTTGGCTTCAAAGTCCTTCAGATGCAAAGGCAATAGGATTTAGAAGAGTTTTGTTTTCAAATAGAACTAACGCATTTATGTTCGCAGTATATTTTCATGGGCAGTATAAAGGTTCTGGTGGTCTAATAGACAAATTTGACGAAATGAGGATCTTTACAGTTCGTTCAGACGAAAGTCTTGAGAAAACTCTAAATGACTTTCAAACTCAAATGAACAAATATTATTGGGAATTTCAAGAAAAATACGACTCTTTACTAAATGGAACATACTATCTGAAACTAGAATATGACAAGATGAACTCCACCGTTTCATTTCAAAAGATTGAAATTAACCCTCCAAGAGATACAGAGTTTTTATATTGGAAAGTAGACAAACGTTCTTGGGCACAATTTCTTCGGTTACTAAACCAGAACGAACCATTACCACCAGATGGTCCATTTCAATTTATACTTCCACCAGCAGATTTGACAGTTTATAGAAACGTGTTTGACCCTCAAAATGTTATGTGTCATGCAAGTTTCAGTTCAAGCAACAATAGTTTTCTATGTATTGGTAAGGACTTTTATGACTTTGCTTCTAAATTCTACGAACCACCTAGTAACAGTTTCTCTGACTTTCAAGTTTGGTTCACAACAAATGGTGTGCAACATATTATTCCATTGTACTATGACTTTTATCTCGAATTGTCTTTCATATATAACTACGGAAAAGTGCTGAAAAAGTATTGAATGTGAAGATATTAGAAAATAACATTTTTTCTAACATCGTAGAAAACTCATGAAAACAATTTATTTTTGACACTTTCACAAAAAACATAAAAAAGTGCAGTTAAACGTTAAGGTTTACTGAACTGGTTGGATGTCGCCTTCACAGGTTATGTAGAACGGCTGACCCGAGAAGTGGAACAGTGCTCTGAGAATTTGTATAATTCGTGGAATTGGACTCTCTCTGTTTGGAAGTAGTATCCAAGGACGCTTGGCAAAGAACTTGAGAAGAGCTTCTTTCTTTGCTTGCTTTATGCCGTCGAAAGGAGTGTTTTCTGGTATTTGAATTGGAATTCCAGTCGAAATCTCGAGAGTCAAGGCAGCCCTTCCAGAAATAGTGGTGAACTTGACCTTGGGCTTCATGACCTTGCGCAAGTACTGCTTAACAAGCTCGTTAATTTAAATTAGGTAAATTGCTTCGTCAAATGGCTCGATGTTGTCCATTGCACTGCTTCAGAACAATACTTGTACTTTTTCAGAACAATACTTGCACTGCTTCAGAACAATACTTGTACTTTTTCAGAACAAGACTTGCACTGCTTCAGAACAATACTTGTACTTTTTCAGAACAATACTTGTACTTTTTCAGAACAATACTTGTACTTTTTCAGAACAATACTTGTACTTTTTCAGAACAAATTTCCCGTAAAAGCTCTCAATTTGTGAGAAAAATTTTCTGTTTCAGAACAATATTTGTACTGCTTCAGAACAATATTTGTACTGTTTCAGAACAATATTTGTACTGCTTCAGAACAATATTTGTACTGTTTCAGAACAATATTTGTACTGCTTCAGAACAATATTTGTACTGCTTCAGAACAATATTTGTACTGTTTCAGAACAATATTTGTACTGTTTCAAGACAATGTCCGACGTACCACCAACCCAGTCCATTCCCAAACCAGAGGAACCTAAAGCACCAGCCCCTGCACCTCAGTTCCAGCAAGTACCTCCGATTTACTACCAATTTCCACCTCAAGGTTACTACCCACCACAAGGCTTCCCGAACTACCCTCCTCTACCTATGCCTTACTTCCCCAACCCTTGGATGTTCCAGCAAGCTCCACCCCAACAATTCCAATTCCAATACAAATCGAAGAGAGCCCAAGAGTTCGAAGAAGGTCTGAACCGCTTACGCAAAGAGTACGCTACAGCCCCTATTGAGAGAAAGTTGTTCCCGGACCAAAAAATAAAGTTTAGGGTAGAAGGTTAGATCTAACCTCTTTTCTACCCTCTTGAATTTTCATGACTTCTTCGTAAATGTTTTGTCAAACATGAACGTAAATGTTTTGTCATGACTTCTTCGTAAATGTTTTGTCAAACATGAACGTAAATGTTTTGTCATGACTTCTTCGTAAATGTTTTGTCAAACATGAACGTAAATGTTTTGTCATGACTTCTTCGTAAATGTTTTGTCAAACATGAACGTAAATGTTTTGTCATGACTTCTTCGTAAATGTTTTGTCATGACTTCTTCGTAAATGTTTTGTCAAGAATATAGCAACCGTCGGAATACAGACGGTTGGTTTTTATATAAAATTCATGCGGGAAATTCTTGAGTTTTGGTTGAAAGAATACGGTGGAGCCAAAAGTGGCTCGACCTCAAAACAAGCATTTTATGAGCTTACTAAGGGTGTTATGAATGAATTCAAATGTATTTACATACATCCTGACCTCGTTCATTTTGTTCCCGGACCAAAAATAAAGTTTATGTTAGAATGTTAGATCTAACATGTTTTCTAACACGTTTTCTAACATGGTCTAAAACTCTCGAAAATCATGAAATTTACAGCAAAAATATAATTTATGTTAGCATGTTAGATCTAACACGTTTTCTAACCTCTTGAATTTTCATGACTTCTTCGTAAATGTTTTGTCAAACATGAACGTACATGCTTTGTCAAGACTTCTTCGTAAATGTTTTGTCAAGACTTCTTCGTACATGTTTTGTCAAGACTTCTTCGTAATGAGTGTAAAGGACCCAAAAATAAAGTTTATGTTAGAATGTTAGATCTAACATGTTTTCTAACATGTTTTCTAACATGGTCTAAAACTCTTGAATTTTCATGAATTTTCCCGAAATAAAAAATAAAGTTAGTTTTATTTTTTTTATTTTTTTTATTTTGTATAAAAAAATAAAAATGTCAACAATCGGCACAACAACACTTCAAACAACTACAGCACCAAACTCGTTAGTCATGAATCCAACATCTATGTTAGTAGAAATGAAAAGCTTCATTCCTTCTTCATATACTTTCGAAACAGAAATCCAGAAGATAAAGCAGGAACTTTTAACAAGTACTTTGGACTGTAGTGCGAAAGATGAAACAAATGAACAGTATCTTTATGAAATGCAGGACATTATTGACCATTTACCCAAATTGCCTGAAATTCAGCAACAAAAACTAACCATTCCTGAATTCGATGAAATAGAAGTCAAAGCAACTGACTCAGTAGAAATAAAGAAGTTCATACGAAAGGTAAACTATGAGTTTCTAGGATTTCATTGCAACCATAAGGTTATGGACAAAGATTGCGACATGGTATATAAGAATGTTTCTGACATATATAAATCTGAAGAATTTAAGACCTACGACAACTTTGTTTCGTTAGTTGCTGAATGTGTTTGGCAGATAAGAGATAAAGATAAAAGATGTAAAGTATGGAACAAACAGATAAAACCAGCAACTTTTGAGTTAAAGAAAACCATTGACGCTTTAGTTGTTTTAGCAGGTAAGGTTTCAGAATATAACGCAAAAATGAACCCGCAATGTTCTAAATGTAAAGCAGCAATGAGGAAATATAACTACTCCGTCAAAGAGATAGAAAGAATGAGAAACGACTATGCTGACTTAAAGAAAGAAGCAGAGAAACCAGCAGAAGATAAAATGGACATGTTAGCATTTCTGAACAAAAACTATCCAACAGCAGAAGATTTCCTTCTATCTGACGTCAAGAAGAAGTATAAAGAGACTTTCGGCATAGTTAAAACATTCGATGTACTAAAAGAAGAAATAGAAGCTACGAAACTGTTTAAAGTCATGAACCATCGCAACATATACCATGTAAAACGCTTGTAAATAGTTATGTTAGAAAACGTGTTAGAAAACATGTTAGATCTAACATTCTAACATAAAATATATTTTTGCTGAATTCCGTATGAAATTTCATGAGTTTTGTGTGTTTTAGACCATGTTAGAAAACGTGTTAGAAAACATGTTAGATCTAACATTCTAACATAAAATATATTTTTGCTGAAAAAAATGACCAAATTTCATGAATTTCCTCATATGTTTGCTACCCGAGGAAAACCGAGGGTAGAGATTCCGTACGAAAATCGTAAAAAATTGCCAATAAATTTAAGAGGTTGGTATGTACATAGACTATTAGTAAATGCAGTTGCAGTGAAGGCTTACTTTACATCGTTCAGAAACCAAACATACAGACATTGGTTCAAAAACCAAAGCACACAAGAACTTTTGAGTGAAATTTCTCTAGACCGACTTTTTTCGGTCTAGCATAAAACTCATGAAAATCGTAAAAAAATGACCAAATTTCATTATATAACTGTTATTTTTTGACGAAGTGAACTTTGACACTTCGTCAAAAAAAATCCCTGAAATCATATCTTTTATACAAGATAGAAAATCTTACTCGCCTAAAACTCATGAAAATCGTGAAAAATTGCGACCCAGACTTTTTTTCGGTCTAGCATAAAACTCATGAAAATCGTAAAAAAATGACCAAATTTCATGAATTTCCTCATATGTTTGCTACCCGAGGAAAACCGCGGGTCGAGATTCCGTACGAAAATCGTAAAAAATTGCGAGTAGGGAAAAAAACCTGGTCGCCTAAAACTCATGAAAATCGTAAAAAAATGACCAAATTTCATTATATAACTGTTATTTTTTGACGAAGAGAACTTTGACACTTCGTCAAAAAAATCCCTGAAATCATATCTTTTATACAAGATAGAAAATCTTACTCGCCTAAAACTCATGAAAATCGTGAAAAATTGCGACCCAGACTTTTTTCGGGGTCGCCTAAAACTCATGAAAATCGTAAAAAAATGACCAAATTTCATTATATAACTGTTATTTTTTTACGAAGAGAACTTTGACACTTCGTCAAAAAAATCCCTGAAATCATATCTTTTATACAAGATAGAAAAAATAAAGTTAGTTTTTTGTAAAATATTTTTTTTATTTTGTATGTAAGAACAGAAATGACAAACACTGAGTTTGAAACAGTTAAAAAGATAGACAATGACACCAAATTGGTTAGAATAGGTGATTTAAACGTAAGATACTCAAAGAAATACAACAAATATTCTTTGTCAGACATTTTATCTCCATCTGGAAAGAAAACATACCATTGGGTTGGAATTGCTTCAACTCAGAAAATTTTGACAAGAAATCCTGAGCTTATGATATCGGTAAGATTCTATGGAACTACAGCATATCTTATAGACAAAAGTCTTATACCAATAGTTTTGTTATGGTTAGACCCAGTTGTTGGATATAACTTCATAACATATGGTTCATTCGATACGGAACGTTGCAGTGAAGGCTTACTTTACATCGTTCAGAAACCGAAGGACTTCAATACAAAGAGATATAAGATAGGAAGAACATATAATATAACTCAAAGATATGACAGTACAGTCAATAGAGTCAAGGTTGTGTTCGTTAACGATATGAGAGCTGCTGAAACAGAACTACTTGAAAAGTTTGAGAAAATGTATGGTGCTCCCATAAAAGGTAAAGAAACGTTTGAAGTAGATGAGATAGATAAAGCTATAAAATTATTTGACGAAGTTGCTGAAAAATACATGTAAAAATAACGTTTACCATGTAAAACGCTTGTGAGAAAACAGGTGAAAAAAAAGGTGAGATCGCACCTCTTCACCTAAACATTATTTTTGTCTGATTTACGCTCATTACGAAGAAGTTTCGACAAAACATTTACGAAGAAGTTTTGACAAAACATTTACGAAGAAGTCTTGACAAAACATTTACGCTCATTACGATGAAGAAGTCTTGACAAAGCATGTACGAAGAAGCCATGACAAAACATTTACGAAGAAGTTTTGACAAAACATGTACGTTCATGTTTGACAAAACATTTACGAAGAAGTCTTGACAAAACATTTACGAAGAAGTCATGAAAATTCACGAGGGTAGAAAACGTGTTAGATCTAACCTTCTACCCTAAAATATATTTTTGCTGAATTCCGTATGAAAACAGTGAAGAACAGCGAGTACGTAAAAAAACGTAGTCGCCAAAACTCTATGAAAATCGTGAATTTCCTTAAGATAGAAAAAATAAAGTTAGTTTTATTTTTATTTATTTTTTTATTTTGT